ATCAATTTTCACAAAAATAAAGAACCTTTGCATTTGTTTCAGCAATATCATGTGGGGTTCCTAAGGCTCCTGCAAATGGAGGCATACTGGCAACTGATTACTTAGTGAGTACAAGTGTCACTTATTTTTGCAACGACGGATTTAGGTTATCATCTAAAGAGCTCACTACAGCTGTATGTCAGCCAGATGGCACATGGAGTAATCATAACAAAACACCTCGCTGTGTAGGTAAGCAAAAACCTGAACCTCATTCATTTGCTATATAAAGTTTTAATAAGGATAATGTCTTCAAGGTACTTACTTATTTAGTGTCCTGTAACTTAAATATTTATGGTGATGGAAAGTAACTTAAAAAAGCTTAAAAAGTAGGACATGGCTTGTTGTTTAATACTTGCATGGACAACACATTAAAATACAGATATATTTTGTGGGAAAACTGTGGGCAAAATGGTGTTTTAGAGAACATTTTATTGTCAACTATGAATAATTGTATACAATTACAAAAAATTGTAAAAAAAACAGCAATATGCCAAATACATTTGAATCGAATTGATAATTTTATTTCATGGAGTCATGCATTCCACACTGTGCACCGATGAGGGACAAAAAGTCTAAAACAGCTGTACGCAAGCTAAGAAGGGCCGAGTATAATTGGGTAAGGAAAACAATGAAATGTTCCTTTGTATAAACATAGGAGAGGAGTGTTACCAAAAAGTGTGCACAAAAAATTATGTGCCTACTGGATCCAGTAGTAGAAATCCAGTTGCACATTTGGCTACCACAGTAAAAAGGAACGATTAGTATGGGTGCACCGATTATACATAAATGAAGAATACAGCCCTTGCTTTTAAATTTGGGTTGGAAGTGAGATATCTGTAAAACAAAAGTTCTTAATAAAGCATACTGTGCTTCAGTGCTTTAGAAGCAGAGACATTTGGTTCCTTTTATCCCCGCCAAAAGCCTGCTAGTCATTCTACTTGAGATACCCTTTAGCCCCACATCATATAGTTTTTTTGTACTGATAAGGTCTTAACTGTTTGCAATGGTTGTATGTAGGTAAAATATATACATAAAATAAATAAATATAGACTGCATCTGTGCTTTACTCTAGCCGTTCTGGATGCACATTTGCCATGAAACATATATTTTGTATGTCTCTAACTAGTGTCATAAAATGAGGAATTATCATTTAAGGTTTGTGTTGGAAGTGATGGCATGCAAATACCTTCTGTAAGAAAAAATACCTTGAACTTTAATAGAATCCTTAGAACCATTATAGATATACTATATTAGAACTTTAATAACAGTCTAATGTTTATACTTCAAAATCTAAAGGCATAATGGGACAAAACAGAGTAAAGCATGCTATTTCTGAAGATATACAGTGATTTTATTGCCTTACCTTGTCCATGTAAATTTTTGATAAGTGGAGTTACCCATTAAAGTTAAACGCTGTCTCTTTAGCTTAGAAAAGCAATCATAGAAAAACAATCATAGTTGCTTTTATGTATTGACCTCACACTTTTCATATATATCTTATATAAACAATTCTTGTATATAGTACACTGTATGTATGTGTGTGTGTGTATAATATATATATACACACAATGGGGTCTATTCACGAAATTTCTGACAGCTGGGCGGAGCCAGCTGTGATCTTACAGCTGGCTCCGGCCACTTGCAGAGAGATTAGCGCCCCTGGTTACCAGCTAAATGCTCCCGGCAATAGTAAACTAGCATTGCACCCGCCCTCTGCTAATGGACCTGATGGAAAACTGCAGCAGAGGGCGTGAGCAATGCTAGTTTACTATTGGCTATTGCAAATTGAAATAGCCAATAGGAATCTAGCAATGCATTCCAATGGGCACATGTTTTTTTCTATTCTGCCACGGCTCTGTGTCAGAATAAAGAAAAAAAAAGAAGAAGCAGTGTTTCTCTCCTTGGCGGCTGGGAGCGGGAGACTCCCGGAGCGACCGGGAGAGTTTTTCTTTTATTTTTTTGATGGCAGCAGAACCGTCTGCCAATAGAAAACTATTGGGCGGAGCTAGCTGTCATTGCTAGCTCCACACAATGGTTTTCTATTGTTTTTTTACTTTTTAAACTATTTTTCTGTTCTGCTTAGTCCCTCTTAGTCACTCAGTCCCGAATGCCGCTCAGCGGTTTGAGTACTTTCTTCCATTACTTTCTCTATGCGGAGGCTATAGTGAACTGCACTGTATATGCCTATAGAAGATATAAAAGGCACCTCTGTGTAAAGAAGGGGGTAAAATAAAGTAATTTAAATCTTCATAAAGAGGTTGCTTCAAATGTGTTGCAGCTAGAATTTGCAAAACAAATTGTTCTGGGGCATTCACAAATTATATTCTTACACTATTAGACAACTACACAAAAAGCAAAATAATTACAATCTAAGTGAGTCATTAATTGTATGAATTGCTTTGGTCACATTACATGATTTCATGGCTGCTTGGGCTTCTAAACTATTAACCTAATGAAAAGATCTAAGTTGTCTTGAAAGCACTAACATGCTCAAGTGGTCCCTGCCTGATGAATCAGGTTCACAGTAATCCCTAACACTGTTTCAATGAGCAGCCATTACCAAACTCTAGAAGGACCTGCTTCCAAGATGCAAATTTTTGTCATTAGGGAATCAGGCCATTAATGTATCTTTCATACTAGGTATTTTCCTATGTATTAGCACCTATGAGTAAAAAGTGCATTGCAATGTGAGTTAAGCGATATATAGAACTGTTAAAATACATGGTAATCATGGTAACCAACACACCAGCTTTGCTTTCTAATTTTCTTCTTATACTTTAGACGTATTCTAAGGAAAAAAACCCCTTTAAAATAAACACTTTTAAAACTTCTGAAAATCAAAGATTTTTTTTTTCTTTTGTGCAGTCATGCTTTTGCTCAGCCTTACAATTAAATTTTTTTCCTGAATTCCTAAGAATACTTAAGCGTTGAGTGTCATCTACCATGTCTACACATATGAAAGTAATTATTTTTTACTTTGCAAGGGAATTTTCCCTTAGCTTAATGAATATGGTGGAAATTCACTTTGCAGGGAAAAAAATACATGCAAGGAAAATTAGAATAAAAAGTACCGTATTTTTCGTTCCATAAGACACACTTTTTTCCCCCCAAAAGGAGGGGTAAAATGTGCCTGCGTCTTATGGAGCAAATCCGGGCGCCGGGCGAGTAGTTTTTTGTACATTTAGCTCTGCTAAAGCAGAGCTAAATGTACAGTAGGAGCCACTGCTCGTTTAATACGAGTGATCTAATGAGATCACTCGTATTAAAATCGAGCAGCGGCGGAGGCGATCAAGATCACCATAGAGTAGACGAAGAACGGACGTTCTTTGTCTGCTCTGTGTGATCACTGAGACCGTGGCACTGTAATCACAGCCACTAACTGCAGCTTCTGTCACAGAAGCTGTGACAGAAGCTACGGTCTGTCGAGTGCTCCATACCTCGCTGCGTCCTATGGTCCGATGCGTCTTATGGAACGCAAAATACGGTATTTTGCTAGATTAGCTTGCACATTCTTGGATGATGGAGCCAGCATACATTCAACTTATTTACTAAGCTAAAGGAAAATTCCCCTGCAAAGTAAGCAGCCTATTTGCCTTTAGTAAATCAACCCTAGTGTGACAAATCTCAAAAATGGGGCCCTTAACACCAATAAAAAAAAGCCCAATAGAGGTTTTAAATCATCAACATTCTGCTCAAGCATATAAAATATAGTTTGGTTTTGAGTTGGACTTAAAAGAAAACAAGACTAATTTTAAGTTAATTCTTAAACTGTTTAATGTAAATGTAAAAGGCCCGCTTCGGGTTTCACCTCAGGTCAGTCGAGCCGAAGCATATGCCTTCGGCTCAATTAAGCCGCTCGGCCAACTTCGGGAGCTGTACGGGCTATAGCGAATAGTCCATACAGCAGCCCTTCAGTTCTACAGAACTGAAGGGTTTAGGCGGCCGAAGCTAGCCGAAGGATCAGCCAGAGCTACGGCTAGCTTTGTGAATAACCCTATATATTTTGTTACTGGAAAAAATTAACATATCTTTAGGTTTTTTTTTCTCCAATTAAATCTGTGGAGCGGGCACAAGTTGTTGTTGGTAAGGGAGGCTGATTTTTAAATTAACATAATTACATCTAGTTATATTTGTGTTGCTTATGTAAATTGTATTACTTGCACATTTTTGCTAATTTATTATTCTGGATTAATGTACTGTAAGGAATCAGGAACATTCGTGCTTTTGTTACTATAACCTGTTTTTTAAAATTCTTTTGAAGTTGTGACTTGCCCCAGCATCAATTCTTTCACCTTGGAACACGGAAGGTGGCGCATTGTCAATGGATCCCACTACGAATACAAGACAAAAGTTGTCTTCAGCTGTGATCCTGGCTACTTCCGTTTGGGACCTGCATCTATTCAGTGCCTTGCCAATGGGACATGGAGTTGGAGAAATGAGCGACCTCACTGCCAGAGTATGTATGGAAGAATAATTAATTCAGATACACAAAGAAGAAACATCAAGCACAGCCATGAGACAAATATTCACAGCTGTTCTGAGTCATTTAAAATACATTTATGTATTAAAGGCATCTACAAGCAGCAATAGAATGAACAACATTTTATTAGAATAATTAGAGATAAATGTATGGTGCTGACATTGTGCTGACTTTGAGCTTTTCAAATATTTAATGTAGTGTCTTCGCATTGTACAATGCTGTCTTTGAAGCAGTCAAGCTCATTTGAAAGTCCATTGCTAACCTTTACTGACCTTGGAAAGCCCCTAGAAAGACTTTTGGATCATTCAACTGTAACATCTAAACAGTCAACACATAGCACAAGTCTGCAGAACTGTAAACATAGTAATACAAAGTACATAATTTACGCAAACCATGTCCGTTTATGTATTTATGTATTTTTTTTGTTTTATTCATTTAAACTCAATATTCAATTTCACTAATAACCACTGCAAAAGTGTACAATGCAACATTCATTTTTACCAATATGTATTGAGAGTTAATAGTAAAGTAATGTGTCATGTCCTTCTAAAAGGGCAGGTTTTCAGGATATACAGACCCTGAAGGCCCAGCCCAACAAGAGCTAGTATGTCCATTGATAATTTGATTGAACCTTTGACAATCTGTATCCATCACCTCATTTTCAATTTTGTCCAGCCTGGCAATCAGGCAGTTGTGACAATTGCCTAAAGGCCTGACCTCTTTGACTCTTTGAAAGCACTTGCTTAACTTGTTTAAAGTTCTAGAGGTCATGCAATATGTTTTAACCTAATTTTGTATGGTCATGGACTGAGTTGTCGGTTGTTCCAATATTTAAATGTCATGACCAAGCAAAACAAATTTGGAACCATGTTTAGATTTGTACCTGTGTAATCTTTGTTGTGGGGCTTCTTTTTACTCCTAATAATGTATTCCAATTTGCTAGTACCTCCAGATACCCCGCTAGTTAGACCCCGCTCACCACTTAATATTCCCATTAGAATCTACAAAATAATGTCATAGTGTTGTACATACTACTGTATGCAGCCAATGCTCACCTTGTCTTTACAACCCTGCCTGGCAAGCCATTGAGAAGACATAAAGAAAGCCTATGCAAGCTCTGAGAGGCTCTAGTCAGGTTTACAAAGGCCTGAAAAAAGCACAGATTTCATTTAAATTACCACTTTATAATATATAATGGCATCATCTTCTAAAGCGATGAATACAACCCAATGGAATCTGATGGAGCAATAAATGAATAAAAGGATAAATAAATGAAAGTATTGTTTGTATGTTTTTTCGTTGTTAAAGTCCACACCACATAGTAAGACTTGTTTGTCTTTTTAGTTACATCTTGTGGAGACCTTCCTGTACCACCAAATGGGAAAAAAATTGGAACTCAGACAACATTTGGCTCCACAGCAATATTTACATGCGACACCGGTTACATGTTGGTTGGGTCAGTCGTGCGAGAGTGTTTATCTTCTGGACTATGGAGTGGGGCAGAGACTAGGTGCTTAGGTAATGTATTATTTTGTATTTTATTTTTTCACTTCTCTGTACCAGTTTTCCTTGAAGCACTTTTATCTTGTTATTGATAAAAAAGTATTTTTTGTTAAAAGCACAAATATTTAAGCCTTTCTGGTGCTACTTGTCTTAGCCTGTGGATCTTGTTATGCTTATAATTTTTCAGATTCTTGGGAATAAACATTTTACATCAAGGTCCTGGCTGTTGAGTGTGGATTTATATACATTGGATTACAAATGTCGTTATGCTCAAGTCAATAGGAATGCAAAAGCAGGTTAAAGGAAGTTGATGCAGCTTAGATGCAGCTTAGATGGAGGTCATGTGCAGGTCTTAGAAGGAGGTCATGTGCAGGTCACATGCACCTGTCAATAAACACTAAGAGATTTATTCACAAAGCTAGCCGAAGGATCAACCGTAGCCCCGGCTGATCCTTCGGCTAGCTCCGGCTAGCTCCGGCTCCGGCAGTAAAACCGAAGGGCTGCTCTACAGGCTATTCACTATAGCCCGTACAGCTCCCGAAGCTGGCCGAGTGGCTCAGCCGAGCCGAAGGCACATGCTTCGGCTCAACTGAGCCGAAGCGGGGCAAACAGCCGGCTTTTGGCCAGCCGAAAGCCTCGCAACTGGCAGCTGGGAGGAGCCAGCTGTGATCTCATGAATGGTTCCGCACAGTTACAATGACAGATTGGCGTCCCCAGGTTACCTGGGAATGCTGAACTCTCATTAAACAATGACAACTGGGCGGAGTCAGCCGTGGTGTCACGGCCAGCCTCGCCCAGTTGTTATTCCCTCTCTGGGACCTGCTAGAAGACTCTAGCAGGTCCCGACCAATAGGAAAACGTTGGGCGGAGCTAGCTGTCACTGGTAGCTCCGCCCAATTGTTTTAAAAAAATAAACAAATGTTTATTTTTTTTAATTTATCATTTATTTACATTTTTAAACTTGTTTTCTACTTTTTTCACTGATTTTCTATTCTGCTCGGTACCACGGAGGTACCAAGCAGAACAGCTGAGCCGAATGCCACTCAGTGGCATTCGGCTATTCACTCACTGCCCCTATGGCCTCTATGAGAATAGGCCAAACGGCAGCGAGTAGCCTGCCGGAGGTTCTGCTTTGCTCAGATCCAGATGTTGGATCGGCTTAGTCGAACATGTTCTTCACTTCGGCTCAGTCGAACATGCTGAGCATGTTCAGCTGAACTGAAGCAAGCCGATGTACGGCTAAAATTAGCCGTACTGAGCTAAAGTGAATAGCCGAACAGCATTTGGCTCTGTTCACTTTGACTCCGTTATTCACTCGGTTGCCTTTGGCAGCTTTGTGAATAACCCTTTAAATGATCTCAGAAGTCTCCTTAATGGATCTCAAAGACAAGCTGAAAGCACACTGCATTTGCCAACCAAGCCATACAGCTGGTTATAATCTTATTGTCCTTTAGATTTACCATCAGCTATGTAGCACTAGGGCCTCCCTGGTTGGATGTAAATTGAATGGCTTGTTTAGGTGGCACATCACACTATATGATTGTCTGCAAAAATAAATACAATTTTACAATTAGATTGTTAAGCAGGCACATTCTGTTTCTTTTGCTAATTTCTTTCTTTCTACCATGTGCTATTTTTCCTCCAAAATTTTGGTATGTGAATGCAATATTCAAACTTGTAAAATGTCTAAATACTACAACTGCAGATTTCTGTGCATGCTGCAATTATGTTCCCCATGCCATTGTGTTGGAGGATATAATTAATTGTGCTGTAGTCAGTCCTATACTGGACCATTACACCCAGAAAGTTTACTGCAGATATCTGTATAAGTAAAGTAGCTGATGAAGGTGGTGGAGTAATACAACTTTGGCTAGCAGTGAATATTTGCCAAACAATAATCCATTTGTATTTTCAAAGGATTCCACTTATTTACTCACATTTTTCAAGAAAATTTGCACTATGTGCCTATCAGTCAGTCATCACAAGACAAGAGGAGCCTGTTATATCCAAGTTCATGGACTCCAGTGAAAACTCAATCTGCTATCTGCATTAGCTTTCAAAGGAGTAACACATATATATATATTTTTTAAATAAGTTATATTCACAAAAATAGAACAGTTTTTTTCAACAAAATGAATAATTTGATTTGCAAATGTCCTTTAATTTGTTAAATCAAACATCAGGCATTCTATGTAAATAAAACAGGCATTCCAAATTAATTTCACAATGTAAAAACAAAAGAATCTCAAAATTTGAGCTGAATATAAATGTCCCACTTGATGATATTTTTTGCATTGTCCTCATTTTTAATTCACTTAAGTATGAGTTTAGAGTAACGTTGCAGTGAGTCATGTTTCTTTATTTGTTCCTGTGCCTGCTAAGATGGCCCAAATGTGGATAAGAAGGTGGAAAACATGCCACGGCTAAAAAAAAAAAAGAAAAAAACAATCAGCTGCCTTTTATCTTAATACAAAAAGTGGAGAATCAAAGTGAATGCAGATGTATATTATAGGGGCAAAAAACTTGGTGCTAACTTTATGAAAATGTAAGAATTGTTTATAGTTAGGATGATGTGTGAGATATTTTCAACCCCATCTCATTAGCTGAAACTTAAAATTGTTTAGAAAACCTTATGTGAACATGAATGATTTTACATTTCTCATATAAGTTTAAATAAAAAATTAAATTGTGAACTGTTTTATTTTTATTTTAATCTGCATTATGCTGCAACAATAATCTGAAATGATTGAACTGTAATGAAATAGCTGCCATATATGTATACTAAACCTCTTACCTGTTTCTTCATGTTATAGCTGGTCACTGTGGAACACCAGAATTGATAGTGAATGGTCAGGCTATTGGTGAGAATTTTGGGTATCGAGACACGGTTGTTTACCAATGCAACCCTGGTTTTCGTTTAATTGGGTCGTCAGTGCGAATTTGCCAGCAGGATCACAACTGGTCGGGGCAGCTGCCTTCTTGTGTGCGTAAGTAGACCTCTCACTATTGTATGTGTAGTTTATTTCAATTTATTAAATGCTAAAAAGGACTCCAAGATCAATTATAAGCGGTTGATTTACTGAAGTAGAAAATAGAATGTTCACTTTGCAAAGGAATGTTAAGTTTAGTGAATGAGCTGAAGCTTTGCTGACTTCCATCATCCAATCACATGCAAGCAAAAATATTTATTTTAATTCTCCTTGCATGTGATTGAGTATTCATTTAAAAGAGAATTTTCAAAACATTTACTGAGCTAAGGGAAAATCCTCTCATAAAGCACGGACTACCTTGCCAAGTGAACAGCCTATTTTCCTTTAGTAAATCACACCCATAAAATGAAGCCTTGGTTAAATATATTTACTAAAATATGTATTATGGAGTTGACAGTCCATAATACTATTAGCACATACCTTTACGGGCCTGATCTCAAAGTGTATCATCTCCCACAACCCTTCTAAACCAGCAATGGAAATGGAACTTTCTTAGGGTCTCTGTCTGTATACCCATCCCTCCTTGTTAGCGATATCTAGACCTGATGACTGCTTTCTCAGGCACCCGCCTTTTATAATGGGATGAGGGTGGGGATGTGTCTACTCTCCACAACTAGATGGTTGAGAGTGCTATGGAAAGGGCTCTGATCTGCTCGGCACTGTCAGATCAGGAAAGTGAAAGTAGTTGAGGATGCTGACAGTAATGTCATGTGCATTAGAATTCATATTTTCTGTTTCTGTCACAGGTTTGCTTTAACACACTACTTTATTGTGAATGATTGCTTATTAATTGCAGGGCTACTATAGCTGGACATACTATTAGACATCACTGGTTACATATTACACATGACTGCTTGATGGTTTACAAGTATCCATTAAACATTTGGAATTATCAGTACTCTATTCCTTTCCCAAACCCTAGACAGGATTACATTACTTTTAGCTACATTTTTGCTCCCCCCCACCACCCTTCCAAAAGCTGTACTGCAATAATACATTCCTACTTCTATAGTGCTGCTACAGGATTCTCCAGTGTTTACAACCCGTTGTACTTAATTCTTCAGCACTGGCCCCTTTGACTTCAATGTAGCCATATATCGAGGATCTTCACTCTTGATATAAAGTCCCATTTAAATCAACAGGGTCTTAGCGGTGAAGAAAATTTAGTTGGCCAGGCTGTAAAATCCAACAAAAAAACTGCTAAAGTGTAAATCAGCAAGTAACCAGGTGAGGTGGTATGGGTTGGGTGTAAGGTTGGTGCAGTTTAGCTTAAATGGGGGGTGAGTTAGTAAACATTTTTACAGTAAAGGAGCAACATCAACAAACATGCAAAAATAAGCCTAAAGCTTTACTTTACTGATTGGAAAAGAAAATACAAAATGCCACTATGTAATATTAAAAAATATTCTACACAAAATGTACAAAACATTTGGTTTAGTCTTTATCATAGTAAATTAAACTACACATAACATTTATTTTTGCTTACGTATTAAGAGATTTTAAAGGAAAGGATACCTGACTATTACACGCAGTGACTTCAATTCAATGTAAATGACATGGTAAATTTGATGCAGCATGAAATATATTTGCAGTCTTACTGTGAACATCGGGGACACATTTTGCTGTCCTAATTTATCCTTGATGTATATATCTTGGCTTTTCCAGATCATAAAAAATGACAACTGCATAATAATTCAGCCATGACCTCTATGTTAAGGAAATTCTTAGCTCTGTTGCTCGTGCGGTGCTTCAGGAAATGCCTGCAATATAATGTAAACGAAAATTCCATTTTATACAACCATCCTGAATTTGGTGTCAAAAATACAACTCTAAATTATAGAAAGTGCACCCCCCTGCTATTATTACATGATATTATATAATATAATTTGATATGAAATTATATGATATTTTCTTTTACATTACTTTGTATAATATAATATAATATTGTATTGTATTATTACATTATATTATCTCATATCTTATTATATTTTATGATTTCATTAGGATACTAAAGTTTAATCTGGGTATAAAATCATCAGTTGTGCAGATAATCAGTTTTTCATTTTATTTGGACTTCTCCTGAGATATTCCGCTACTACGCTACAACAGCTGTCTCATGAAAGTATTCATGAGGACAGATTCTAAGAAGGCCATTCACCCAATAAATCTGCACTGACACTGATCACTGTCAGCCAAAAAAACTGCTCAACACTATTTGTTTTTTTTGTATTCCAGTATACAAAAATGTACATGTACAAGAAGGAATTTTGAAAAATAAATAATGCAAATAATGAGCTTGGATTCGAATGGCTGAAAATATATATTACAATTTAAATAATAATAAATAAAACAAAAACTTTGTTTTAATAAATAAGTACAGCAAAGCAACATGATATATTTTGTGCTCACACATAAAATTAAACATGTTCATTTTTTTCCCCTTAACAGTAGTAATTAACTGTAATAATGATAGCTATTCTGAATATATAATTATCTACAGATAAAAATACACTCACAATAAAGTATTTTCCAATACTGGGTTAGAAGAATTGCCATTTTTTACATTCTTTACATTTTGTCAGCATTAGGGTGTATCAGTGATTTTCATAGTCTGATGTTTAAGACCAAAATCTGATAACAAGATCAATCTTGGCCAATGTCACAGGTTGCCATTGCCTGGCTGTCATTCTAATCCTTTGATTTTAATGCTTTCCGAGTCAATGGGAATGAGTTCTGTCTTCAGCTGTATACATTTCCAGGTCAATGACTCAGAAACTATTGAAGATACGGGATCAGCATGACAGTCAGGCAAAGAAGAAGGTCAGCTTTGACAGCCTATATATTTGTCTAATGACCAGTTTCCTTTAAACTTTAAATTAAACAATGCAGGGCAAAGCATTAGGTTCACTGTAATGCCTACAAATTGCCCACTCAGCCACTGATGTCATCACAAGGGGTGGAGAGACAGTTCTTAACACAGTGTACGCTACAACTGGGATTGAGCTTACAAGGGGCTCCTACTCCTACCTCCCAGCAATGAACAGAGTGGTAGAGGGCAGGGGGATGGGCGAGTATAAGATGCTCTTGTGATTTTAAAGTGAACCTACTGTTTCATGTTACATTCATAAATATCATATTTACACTTGAAATAATAGAGGTTCAATTAGAATATTCTAAAGTTTTATTCTAAAAGATGAACTCCATCCTTGCCCTAAATATTGGACACTTGTACAGCTCCTCTCCTAATAAGAAATCACCTAATATGTAACTGCACACTGTCACTGCACACTGTGAGCTTCTTTTCACAGAATTATGTAGAAGCTGCATTTTCACAAATGCATTGCGCCTCTTTTGCTGGCTGGATGGCATCCAGTGTCATCCAGCACCTTCCTCCCCCTGGCTTTCATTGGTCCACCCCTTTAATGGATTGGATTGCAGCTCTGTTAGTTACAGCAGCCCTAAAAAAAGGGCTATATATATGCCAAAAAGGGCTATGTATATGTATATATGTATAAAATCTTTCGCTATCAACGGTTGTCCCAGCAACTGAGTCAATGCAGCTACATCTTTAATGATTGCCATTACAAAATGTTCTAAGTTTCTCTCTCTCTCTCTCTCTCTCTCTCTCTCTCTCTCTCTCTCTCTCTCTTGTTAATATAGAGATATTAATATATGAAAATGATCTAATTATCACCAATAAACATTAGCTTTTGCCTAGCTTTTCATAGATCTTAAGTGGTTTTAGAAATGTCTTTGCTTAGATTTTTTTACAATGGCATTTATACTATATTAGTATACTGTTTGATATTTACTCCAAGATCACCTTCATAGTAGCTTTATGACAGTGATATCTGAACATTATAATTGCTAATTGTCAGTTCCCTGTAAATATAAGTTCTAAATCCCTTGTAATCAGATTCAATCACTCAAGTGTTCTATTAGTTTTCATGTTAAACTAAAGAGAGGAAAGGGTATTAGACCATGGGGAACAACATGTTACTTTATCGATAATCTTTAAACAAGAATGAATCTCTGTCAAACAAGACTTTCCAAATCTGCTATATAGGAATAAGAATAGAGCAAGGAAAATAATTGCTCTAGGGTCAGTGCTAACAGCAGTAAAGGTGAATGTAGTGTTTTTCAACATCCAATTATAGAAAACCACACAGTAACTGCTATGCTGAACAGCCAGGAAATAGGTAATAGCTATCTGCAACTGTGACATATTACACATTTAAAAAAGAGACTGTGCTTCTTGGAAGTAAACCTTTAAATAGAACATTGAATTGTGGCAAACAATGTAGCTCTAAGACAGCAGGGATCTCTTTTTTTTTCTCTTTTTTTCCCAATGTTTATTAAAGTTGATATCCAGGCAATGTAAAAACAACAGTTAATGTATATATTTATTCATTAAAAATCATTACAGGTATATTTAAATATCATTATTGTAAATACCAGCATTCTTACAATCATCCTCTCGTAATTTACTCAGACTGGAAGAGAGGGAGTGAGTTCTCTTGGCCAATAGGTGAGCGAATAGCTACAATAAGGGACACCTGTTCCTTGGACAACTGTCTAAGATGGGAATTACACATTGGAGAGATTTCCTTTTATTTCTCTAGGACAGGAAGGGAGGATACATCTAACCAGCTGGACAAAGACATCAAAAAATAACTTGCGAGGCCTTTAACCCTTTAATTAAAAAAAAAGTTTTATCTTTACATTCATTTTAACTATACCCTTTGCTAAAAACGCCTAAATTCAATATTTTGCAAGGGTTTCCTTAACTTCAATTGGTCCTTGATAGATCCAGTTAAATACATTTTCAGTTTGTATTATTTCACAGTTAAATTACTTATATTGTCTGCTGTTTTGGGGTTTATATTTTGGTTCAGCTTTATTTGCAATATCACATTGCTAGTTTAATGCCAGAATTACTTTTTCTTTTTATCAATGGCTAACAAATGTGTTCTGTTTCTTGATCCTCATGTCATTCTGGCAGCTGTTAGTTGTGGTCACCCTGGCAGTCCAATTTATGGACGAACAAGTGGCAATGGCTTTAATTACAATGACGTTGTTACATTCTCCTGCAACATGGGATATGTCATGCAAGGACCAACTCGGGCACAGTGCCAAGCCAACCGGCAATGGAGTCACCCACCTCCTATTTGTAAAGGTACAAAAGGCATAAAATACCTGTAATTATGTTACTTTGGTATTTACTATTATATGGACACTTCTTAACTAATTATATTGTTTTTAATTATGTATCTTGAAAGCTGGTTTAAAATAGTTGAATTTTCTAGAAAATCAGTTGCTGGCTAGCTTTAACTTGAAACTTCACTTTTATGTGAAATAAATTATCTTCCAGTTCTAGGTGAACTGTATAGATTGTGAGGATTTAAACCACTTTAACTGCAGACCCTAACCTGCATATCTTCTGGAGACAATGAAGCAGGCCTTACCAGCCATTTCTAAAACTGACTAGTTAGGAATTAAAGAAGAACCCATAAATAGTCTTAACCCTTGCAGTAGGGCTACCTCCACACTGCAAGGGTTAATTCCTCCTTTTCATCTAGGGATGAAAAAAAGTTATACTCACCTGAATCTCAGAACTGGCTGGCTATTATACCAGTGTCTGTTGCCTCTCTCCTCCTCCACTCCATTTTTCTATGGTCCTTTGAGTCATCACGTCCTATACAGTGTTTTAGATGTGAGGATGCTAAGGGACATTCTATCGCTGGAGTGGAGAAGGGAGGCGGCAAGGACCGGAGTAGCATTCAGCCGACTCCAAGATCCAGGTGAATATAACTTTGTTATTTTCATCCCTAGACCTAAAAAAGCACTGACCCCTTGTAGTTCGGAAGTAGCCTCACTGCAAGGGTTAAGAATATTTATGCCTGGAGATCTACTTGAAAGTATATGTAAATCATGTTATTTTTGAATATTTTGAAATCTGCTCACTCAGCAGAATGTGTTTAGGGCATTTGCCCGATGTTATTTAATCCAAATGTCAAAGTAGCACAGTGCTCTGCCCACACAGAGGTTGTTTAGCACAAATTTCTATCAGCCTCTAGTTTTTTTGTAGCACAGCTCTGCCTATTCCTTACTTTCAGCCTTTTACGCTTAACTGCTTCCATCAGATACCAGACTGGACCTGTTGTTTACTTACATACAGGCGGTCATCCTTTCGTAGCTTAAACTGACTGGTCTGTACAGATGGGGACTACCTCTGTCCCTTCACAATCTCTAACTGTTATGCTCAGATGTCAGTCTGGTTCAATGGCCTGTCTGTGTAGGCCAGACAGGCCTTTGACACCTGCTCCCCATGTGTCATGCTTTAAACTGCTCTCGCAATGACTGACTAAAGAACCCTCTCTTCTGTACGCAACACTAACTTGTCTCCAATCAGTTTCACACATGTTAAGGGACCCATCACTGCTGAAAGAGGCACTATCTGCATCTTTACGCAGCAACAGACCATTCGTCTATAACAATACTACAATTTTTCTTGTGCTGGAACTTCCTGTTACAGGGTGACAATTTTCTGTCCTCATCCCTTAATCATCCTTCAGTGTTGTCGCTCTACCAATGCAGACCACAAGCTGCCATGATGACACGCTTTGCACATGCATGTCCCACTGTTCTCACCATAATGCAATCCCCCGTCTAAGTAATAATGTGCAGCAGTGGCAGCATTGTATGCATATAGAAAGAATGCGGTTGGCAGGAGATCAGCAAACAACATGGATATTGTTTATGTTACACAGTTCTTTAGCAAACTGAATGTCATTTGATTAGAGTTTAAATCTACTTTAACTCAATAAAGAGGGAACATTTGTGAGATAGGATGGTAATTTACTTTAAGCCTTATGCTGTCTTCTTGGGAAAAGCTGCACAGGGCTGTATGCTGAATATTTGAATAGAAAGATGGAACAGTTAGGATGTTTTATACAAAGGGTACTTCTGCCATGGTTGCAAAGAAGATCATTTTACATTTTATGATTGTTTTATAAACTCATGGTAAACTAATATGCAAAAGATCTTTTGTAGTGACTTGAACAAACTGGTTGTATAGCAACATGTTATAACAATTTTATAACAAAAGAAGATTTCTCCCATAAGGAGCACTCTTTGCAGTCTAATCAACCCCAAGTTATTTTAATAATAGTTTTACCCTTTATTTGATGAAATGTTTATATCTTTCCGAGTGTATTTCCCAGGACTCCAGTAAAAAAAAATATCAATCAGTATTCTATAAATCTCAAAAGCAATTAAGGAAAGAGAAGAGAGCAGGGTTTGCAGATAACCTTGTGAATGTATCTGTCTGATGCTGAAACTAGTCATACATTTGTATCAAGATATGGAAATGAAGTTACTCCTGAAGTGAACTGATATACATTTGAAAATGGTCTTTGCCACTTTTATGATCCCTACTTACATCATTCCCGACACCTCTTCTGACTCCAAATGTTGGATATCGCACATGCAATCCTCTCTTAAAGTGAAACTCCAGCTCTTTTTCTTAATAGAGAAGTAAAGAGTTAGAACCTGTGTAAGGTTTTTACTGCAGTCTGTGTCACTGTTGAGAAGGATTTCCTTTACATTCCCTTTCACTTCTGGAATAAGAAGTGAATGGAAGTCTCTCTCATAGGACCTCAGAGAGTAGGGGGGCTTTCCAGTAACCAGAGGCAGTGCTAGGATTGTAGAAAACCTGATCCAACTTGGGGCACCATAGGGAGAAGAAATATGTAGAGTGCCACAGTGAACTGTTGGTATAGCCAAGTTGCACTGGCAGTAGGAGTGGCTTAAAAGCAGTGTCATTAGACCCTTAAAAGCAGCATCTCATTAGATCATGGAGGGTGGGGGGCAGCTGTGCCTGCTGCCCCTTATCTAGCCAGAGCATCCCATGTTGCTTAGAGCTCTTAACAACCTGAGACTATCTTGAAGGCATCCTGCCTAGCTTACTGACATCACTGGTTGCCAGGAGCTGAGCAGGATAGCAGGATGCTCTGGCTGGTGTCCTGCTCTGGCTGGCATCTCTTCCATCACATATTATTTTTTGCACAAAGAATATAGACAAAGAACTGACATGTTGTCTGAGCCTATCGTAAAGAAAAGCATAATTAAAATAGTCAGGGACTATATAGCAACCAGCAACTGTTAAGACAATGAACACTTTGGTCAGGAGTACCGTATGTACTGTAGAGGTTCGTAGCAATAACAAAGTGAAATTTGGCCACACAGTTAACCAGAACTCTCAGTCAGAGTGGCTGAGAGGTTCCAGTATGTGAATACTTTTGCAAGGAAGAAGCTATCTTTGCAGTTTCTTCCAGGTTTTCCAGACTGTAGTGGGGATGGAATCTCTAGTCCTGGGGCCAGGTGTTGCCAATGACTAGTAAAGGTTGATCACAGAGATCGTCTGAGTCCCCAGCACAAAAAATTGTCCACAAGAGAAGGCCCTGTCCAACATGCATACCTCAAATGCAGCTCAGCAAGGATCCAGAGAATGTCCTTCCTCATAGGCTTCTAGACTAATATGTCAGAGCTGAGGAAATTAGGAGAGCTTCCCTTAATTTTGAATCAGTGAAATATGAGGTCTGTGCTGCAAGGAACTAAGAAAAAACAATGGAGTCACAACATCTGTACACCGGACACCCAGGAGAGGATCCTCCTCACATTCCCCGGGTGCCCAGTGCTAGCGACAACCCTGCCTGTTACAGTAAAGTTACATTTACGTTGGATTTTAATGGAGTGCTGCTAGCTTTTTGTTTTAACTACTGTTGAGATAAGATATCTGCCACACTGGTAGGACATTATTTTTGGTGATTGTGCTTGCTTTTAGAATTACATTGTCAGAAGGAGCAGTAAAGCATCATTTATAATCTACATGTATAATAGGCAACTATTGTTCTCCGGTGTACTTAGTTATAATTAAAAGGCTGTAGAAAGAATTAGTTTTTTTTGTTTGTTAAAGATTAACACACATTGACAGATTTACATCAAATATTAAACTGTGTTTTTTTTTACATTTACATGTACTGTATATTAATTAAAAGTACCGTACATCCTGTTTACTAACGCTGGTAAATAGTCCTTCATTCTTTACTCAGGCTAAGGGCTTTGTTTCAGTTTTTAAGTTAATTGCTTATTTTAAGCTTATTGTACTCATTTGTGCAACTTTGAAATCAACCCCATTTTTCGAAATGTGATTATGAGCTTTGAATTAAACTATAGTCATAGAAATTTACCAGACAGGTCTGGGGACCTGAAATTGGCATAAATAATGCAAAGGCTGTGGTAATTTGTAACTATCTTAGATTCATTCCTAGTTTCCAACTCCTAGGTTCTGCAAAGCCTTTGATCATTCAATTTTCTTGCTGGTGATGTTCTGGGTCTTTGATCTTCTCCTGGTGGTGGATGGTCCTGGATGACAGTGCTGATGTGATGTGCTCTGCACTCTGCATCAATACACAAGGGCACTGTGCTCTGGGTGTAGTGCCATGACGCCCTGCACTTACAGATTTTACGTAGCTTCTAGGTGTCATTAAACCTTGAAAATTACAGGCATCTTATGGCAAAGAAGAGATCCTTTGGGGCAGCCTCAAATTGAAGGTGAGTATTTCTGCAGTGCTACTTATTTTAACCTGAAGGGAGATAGTTTAAAAAAATTATACAGAGTTGGGCTTTTAAAGAGAGAGAGATAGCATTGTGAAGAAAATAAATGTCCATGTAGCAAAGCCCTGTCTTTCTATTGCTGCCTGAGGTAGACAACCCAAGCATCCATTTGTATGTAAGAACTATTCTTTATGTAATCCATTTTGTTCTATGTGGACCTTTCATATTTCTGCTAAGACTAAATTACATTTTATTTCCCAGTGGTCAACTGTACTGATCCTGGAATCCCAGAGAACTCTATACGGGAAAGTAAAATTGAGCATGGTAACTTCACCTATGGAACAGTGGTATTCTATAACTGCAGTCCAGGATACTATCTGTTTGGATCTTCTGTTCTTGTTTGTCAGCCAAATGGACAATGGGACAAGTCTCTTCCAGAATGCATTAGTAAGTTTATTTTACTTGTTAAAGTTATGAAAGTTGTTCTGTGATTATAAAAGATCTTACCTGTTCTAAATATATACATGGTGGATATGGGGCCTGGTGGTGGAGGGGCTCCATTAGGTGGGCTGCATAGGCAAATAAAACAGAAAATCTGTAGTTGTATGAAGATAACACAAACCCAGCACTGTTTTATTAAGGCCTGCATATATTATTGTTGACAATGACCCTGTACCCCTATGGCATTTCCAGTCAAGATAAGCAGGTAGTCATAGATCCCCTCTGCAGGCTATTAGTAAAGAGAATTGAATTAGCTGTGTCATTGGTGTAGATGTATTGTTCTCAAAGCTTCTGGCCAACCTTACCAGCATGGAAATTACCTTTGTATGCCTAATACAGTCTTTCACAGACTGTAAAAAATCACAGTGTCTGCTCATCTAAAAGCAAACAAAACTGTTTTTAGTTCTGAAAAAAAACTCCACAGTTTATAGAAGTTTCTATAAGGTTTATAGAGGTTTATTTACTAAGGGGAAATAGGATGTCCACTTTGCAAAGGAACTTTCATTGCATCTGAAGGGCATTTTCTCTTAGCTTAGTGAATGTGGTAAAAATGTACTTTGCAAATAATACCCGGTTACATGCAAGATTTTCCATACGTTTCTGCTTGCACATAATTTGATAATGGAAGTCAGCAGAGTTTCAACTTATTGACTAAGCTAAGCTTGCAAAATCTAAGTTCGCTTGCTAAATGAACAGCCTATTTGCCTTTAGTAAATTAATCCTATTACTATTACTATTATTACTATTACTATTAATCCTATTACTATTACTTATGTAATAGTATAAAATATTGTGATGGTCATTATCCCTGCTACAACTTGTGCTTGTTTGTTTTTACTTGCTACTAAATCCCCTCTTTCAATGACTGGGTTACTGTGTCGGTGGAAGGAATGGGAGGAATTAAATTTACATTTAGTAAATTTAATTCTGAGTTTCTGAGATGTGAGATGCTGATCTACTAGAGTAGGTAGCTGGTTAAAAAAACGGTTAAAATTCAATTCTCTGCACTGTTGTCCCCTCTTCCCTAACCACTTCTATCAACAGATCTGGTCTCTTGCAGTGTACTGACTAAGCTAACAGCTCTTATGCTACCCAACCTGTATATATATAGTTGTATATACTGTATATATAGTTTTTGTTGTGATCAATGAAAGTTGGAAGGTCGCTGGGGGCCCCATTAAATGTTTTCTATGGGGCCCCATGGCTCCCAGACATGCCCTGGCCCTAAATGTTTCTGCATTTCTCAATAAAGTCCATCTGGTTTACAGAAGGGGTGGGTGCCTAGATATAAAGGTAAAGAAGTAGACAGGGTGTGTGACCATTATTCCTTTTATTGTCAGCACAAATGTCCCTGCATTCACAGTGCCCCACCTCTGTTCTGAAGTACCAGTCATTTTTCCTCAGCCCATGGGCCAGCCTTTAATGCAGGCCTTTTGGGGATAGTGTTTTATTTTACAAATTAGTTATGGTGTACTGCATTTTGTAATTCATGCTGCCCCCATTTTAAAGAACAGAAAACAGCACATACACTTGCATATTTATAAAGCAGTGAATTTTACATTCACAAAACCTGCACTGCAAGTGAATCTTCCAGGTGCATGTGTTTTAAATGACAGTGATTGATCTACCACCACCATTAGAAAGTATCAGCTTACTAATCTTTGAAATTAAACTAATTCAAGTGAACTGCCTTTCAGCTTTAGGAAATGGTAGAATCAACACAACATACGTATGTTTACTGTGACATGTTGAATAACCTCATATCCTTCACAAAGTGCATCCATGATAAATCCTCAAGCTTTCATTTAATAAAGTAAATAGTCAGTTCAGTGGAGGTGTTCAAAATGGCAGACAGTAGAATTAAACTTGTCATTTCTCTTCTCAGTGATTGACTGTGGTCATCCTGGAGTTCCTCCAAATGCAATTATTTCTGGAGAAAAGTTTACATTTGGATCTACTGTCCATTATTCCTGCACTGGAAGGAGAACTCTAATAGGGCATTCAACAAGGACCTGTCAGTTAAATGGGCAATGGAGTGGATCGTTACCTCACTGTTCAGGTAAACACATTAAAGTGCGTGCATGTGTGTATATATATATATATATATATATATATATATATATATATATATATATACATATATATATATCTAT